GTATGTTGCAGTATTTTAGGATTTAATTAACATAACTTTTTAATATTTTATTACTAACGTCATACTAAATCAACTATGTAAATTGCAATCAATTACGTAAATTATTTGTATTTTATTTGTAAATTATTTGTTTTAAAATAAAACTTATACAGCTTATATTTGTTTCAAGATCAAAAAGTGCATCACAAATTGGCCCGATAAATCACAGCGTGGAAATGTACATTTGCCTGCTGTTTCTTTGATATGTATATATGATTGAATATACATTTGACTTGTTCAGTTCAATTTAAGATTACAAGAAGACCAAGAAACCTATTTTTACGTACATTTATTTAATATTTGGTTATGGGTTAATTAATAACAACTAGGATTATCTAAGTTTGTTTTCGATTTCATCAACAATACTTTCGTTCGTTTGACTACATTTATGATAGGAGTACTTGAAACCTTTACATCTGTTAAAATGAGACATAATTTAAAGTACGTTTTAACTATATACGATTAAGACATAGAAAGCAAGGCATGTTGTTCAAAAGACAATAGAAATTTCAAATTTTTCTAGGACACCATGCCTCCGAACCCCCTAGGTCAGTGGCACTCGTGTTCACATTTGATATGTGCCCCCTCCCCTCCCTGACTATACTACTGTAAACAATAACATGCAAATCTAAAATTCTCAACCTTCAACCTAACAAAGAAAGGACTGGGCCTGAGATCTCGAGTTCCCGCTCCAGATATTATATAGAGATCACTGACCAGCACATGCAGAACACTTACCAGACAAAGCAGGAACGCAGGTTTTTCCATCTCCAACGTAGCCAGGTTTACAAACACATTTTCCACGAAAACAATGAGCGAATTTCGAGTTACAGTCTTTGCAATCATCCATTAGAACTGAAAGGAAAAGAAAACTGGGTAAAATAACAATGTTTGTTTTAATAATTTTAATAGTACCCCAAAAGCAGGCGCGCCGGCGCGGGCGACCCAATGCTATGCGGGCTAAAAATGTAAAGTTATCACAACTATATAATCTGGGGTGTCTGTGGTTTTGCTGAATAGCAACAAACTTTATTTATACTTTAACTGTAAGAAAGTCATACTTTGACAATGAGTTCCAGTAAAATGTTTCTTGCACTTGCAGTGATAACCTCCACCTTTTTCGACACATTCACCAGCATACAAACATGGATTAGGGTAACACTTGCTTACACCAGGAGCTGTGAGACAGAGAGAAAACAATGTTGAACCACTCCTACATGAGAACAATATGTGCAAAAAATAACGAGGAATCACTAAACACGGTTCGAAACGTTGTTTCAAAATTTTCATTAACAACCCACGCAGACACAACACCGCGGAAAAACGTCTGCGCATGCACCAAATTATGAAAATATGGCGGGGAATTTGAATATCAATTTCTAAAACAAAAACATGCTTATTAATTGGTCAAAAATTAGTAAAACAAACGAGAAAATATAGCAAATGGGTAGACTAGACATTAATTGAAAGCGTCCTGGCATTTAAAGTATGAAATGAAATATAATTCATGTAAAAAATTGTTGATTTTAACGGACACGACTTCGAAAATTTTTGCAGAATTATTCAAAACAAAAATTCAAACTAAAAAGTTAAGAAAACTCTCGAAAAGTTAAGCTTTTTAACCCACTCAAATTGTAGAATAAATCCTAAAGTTTAATTATTGTGAACACGAAAATTTTTTATATTTGGCGACATAGTTTCTTTTAAAGAAATGTATCGAAACGAAAATTCGGAAATTGTCGTTGCTTAGTTGCTAAACAAAATGTTTCGGACGATAAATTTGTCAACAATCACCTTTAGTCCACGTTCTTGTACAATACAATTTCTTGAACCTTCTGGCTGTATTTATTTCTAGTTTTTAGAATGACATGTTTGTTTTTACGCTCGAAATCTGGCTGTATAAGACACACAATGAAGTCACTCCTTTTTACCGCCATTTTGAGCTTTCGGAAACGTTCGGAACAGCTTCTCATCAAGTTCGCAATACTATTACAGGTAAGGTGGACGCATGCGCAGACGTTTTTCCGCGGTGTTCGCAGACACAACAGTAAATCAGAAACAAATAAAGACAAATAATATATAGACAGTAAAATGTTCAAAACAGAGACTTGGTTGTTTCCAATTTTCTTATTTCTTTCTCTAGTATTCATTTATTTCATTTTCATTGATCTTTCCACTGATGTGGAAATTCATAAATTGTGATGGAAAATCCATAAATCATGATGAAAAGACAAAGGAAATCACTACCGTGTCACAGAATAAGGTACACAGAAGGCCGACTTCTTCGTTTTTCCTATGATTTTCCTATGACTTTGGCGTAACTCGTGATTCGTCATCAAATGCTGACGCCATGGTCCTAGCCAGTGCGCGTTTGAGAGGCATTCACCCCCTGATAAGATTCAAAATGGTGGACGTCCAGGGGGGAATGCCTCTCAAACGCGCACTGGCTAGGACCATAGCGTCAGCATTTTGATAATGAATCATGGCGTGGCAGCGGTTACACGAGTCGACCTTCTGTGTACCTTATTCTGTGACCGTGTCGGTGGCTTTATATGTGATAAAAAAATCATGTTCATTTACATAAACTTTAGCTTTGATTTTCTCGTCTTGGAGAAGGTTTATTTTAAAATATTTCTTAGACCACTAAAGTGTTTTCTATTTAAGTTAATCTCAGTCACTTGGCGAGCATGCGCAGCGGTGTGGGGTGCATGGAACATTTCCTCCATTTCACATTTGAAGGGGTAACCGTTACACTCCAGCGTTTAGCTTAATTCCTGGTCAGTAAAAATCGTCCTGTATAAATAGAGTAAATTCAGAGATCAGAGATCAGAGGTTTACTTACGAGGTCTAAGGCAGTAAGGCCGTACGTATCCAGATTTGCAATGACAAACAGCGACACCTTTCGATGGTTTACATACACCCCCATTTCTACATGGGTTGCGTAAGCATGGATCAGGGAGTTCTAAAAATTCGAATGAACAATTCGTGAAGAATTTAAAGATGAATTGAAGTATTCCAGTTTCCTCCTGGAATAATATTCGACAAATAAGGAATAACCCTTACTGGACCTCTAGGGAGAACACTTTAGAACTGATAGAGTCATCTAATATTAACAAAGTAAATTTAGTTTACGTTTGTTGCTGCAGTACCACTGAATCAGTAAAGGATGACTCTTACTGGACCTCTATGGAGTACAGTTCAATTAGAACTATTAGAGCTATCCAGTATAAATAAAGTTAGCTTAGTTTAGGTCTCATAATTGCGGGAACCACTGAGTATTTTCATAAAATACCCAGATGATCTTGATACGCGGAAAAGTACTGGCACTAGTTGTCAAATAGAAATCCATTTTATGATTAAAACAACTGAATATCTCCTGTAATATACTTTATTTCGATTCCATATTTTTGTCAGAGCTATAGTTCTCATAACCAAACATAATTACAAAATTTCAACTAGTTTCATAAAGAATAATGAAAGATATAATTGACTGAATACATCAAAATGGATTTCTATTCGGACAACCCTTTCTGAGCGCTGATTGGCTAAAATACGAACACGAGATCACCTGGACAATACAACGGTAACTCCGAATAAAGTAAGCATTTTGATTCAACGTTTCGACTTTATTTAGTTTTATTTAGTTTTTGATCATCATTCCTGATGATGACTAAATAAAGTCGAAACGTTGAATCAGAATGCTTACTTTATTCGGAGTTACCGTTGTATATCAATAAGAGATGATCCTTACTTAACGTCTAGTGGGAACATTTTAAAACTATTAGAGCTATCCAGTATAAATAAAGTTAGTTTAATTTAGGTTCACTCCTGTGGTAACACTGGAACAATTAGAGATAACTCTTACTGGACCTCTAGGGAGAACGTTTAGAACTGATAGAGCCATCCAGAGTATAAAGTTAGTTTAACTAAGGCCACATAAAAAATTACTTGTTTAGCGTCCCCGCCCGACCTGATAAAAGTCCCCGACCTCCAATTTTTTTATTTTTTTTTTAATTTGTCCGAGTTTAGTGCAAAAACTCTCTATAAAAAAGACCGTTTTACTTGAAAAAATGGTGATTTTATTCTTCTGGGAGCTATGTAATACGTTTACACAAAGTTTCCTTCCCAGAATATGCCTGTTCGCAGCTGAAGTGTTCGCGCGTGACCGCCAAACGGTAATTTTCTGTTTTACTAAAAACATGAACGGTATTAAAAAACATGAACGGATTTTGAAAGAATTAAAGTGAGTTTTGACTGTAGTAATATCTGGATTTCCTGCATTTAGAAGAATTTTGTGTTGCATTTTACGAAAAAAAAACCCCGCCCGCCCGACCTAGAAAAATTAAAATGGGTGGACGCTAAACAAGTAAATTTTTTTTATGTGGCCTAATTAGGTTTTCTCCTGTAGCAGCACTGAATCAATAAAGGATGACTCTTTCTTCATCACACTTATACCGAGTCCGTCCACTACCAAAATTGCCAAGCAGTATAGAACTTACTTATCTCACACTTAGAGCCTGTGAAACCAATTGCACAACGGCAGCCGTAACTGCGATCATTTTGTGTCAGCAGTGAAACGCTCACGTTGAAGCATGTCGCGTTGTTTCTGCAGGGCTTGGCACTACACGGGTTGTCCACTGAAAATGAATTTTGGAAAGCAGGTGATAAATATGTTTTCATCTGACAATGATATGTTTTCATCTGACAATACCAAAATTATCATCTAATTATGGACGATGGCGGAATATCGTTGACAAAGAAATGATGACATACAAGCTGTAGTTATTGAGTAAGTAATGGACCTTTCCCCTTATAACTAAAATTTCGATCTAGACAAAAATTTCATCACAGCTTGAAAGAGCATCACAAAATTAGTAATATTCCAAAGTTTTGTTGCGAAATCTTGTAAAATGCGGATAATATAGCCTTGCGAAGTTTGCCGTTTTTCAGTCATTTTGTATTACAAACGGGAAATTGACATCCGATTCGGGTGTTGGGGCTGCAATTTCCCGTTTGTAATGCAAAATGACTGAAAATTGCAAACTTCGCAAGGCTCTATTTTCCTCATTTTACAACTTTTCGTCTAGACTTGCCTAGATCAAAATTTTGGTTATAAGGGGAAAGGTATATTGGGAGTGTGCTAATCATCCTTACTTGCAGCTGAGAGGTAAGCTGAATTGCGAAAGACGCAGCTCAACCTGATCGAGTCGAAGGCTTTCTAAGGACGCCTCTGGCAGCCACCTTATGACTTGTGTCTGATCACGGAGTACAGCTACGGTGGAAGAGTCAGTTTGGAGCTAATCCCAACCCACCCTGTCAACATTCCCTGTGGGAGGAAACTGGAGTACTCGGAGCATCAGGCATTCAGGTAAAAAAAGAAGAAAACTTACGTACTTAACATTGAAGGCACACATCCCCAGGGTGTTAAATACATTCGACTGCGTGGACATATGCACTCTCCTTTCTTATCACAAAATGAGTTGGTGCTGTGTTTTTGTCGTATACGGTTAGCCTTGGGACAGTCACAATCTACGAAAACAGAGCATGAATGAATGATAAACTATACTTGATACTCGAGAGATATGGACACTCTGAATTTCAGAGTACTCACCACAGAATGGAGCCTTGAACTTGTACGTGGGACATTTACAAAATGCGCGTTTACCATCTTCGGAAGTCCTACATACACCATTATATTTACATGGGTTAGGCGTACATTTATCATGAATAACCACACCTGAAAATAAGTACATTCATATTTGCTTGTTTGTACATGTGTTGACCACGGGAACCAAATTCAAGAAAATGTATGTCTAAAACAGTACTTACGTTTTGAACAGTCTTTTCCAGTAAACATTTTTCGACAAACACATCGAAATGTCTGGCGACTTTCAAAACAAACCCCACCATGTTTACATGGGTTTGGGACACATCTTAGCCGAGCTAGAAAGAAATAAAATAAAAATTAAGGTCCGTGAGGGCTTTATTCTTCTGATGATTGTGAACGGTTCTCAACCACTCGTTCATATCCATTAGAAGACAAGAATCGCATTAGAAATCCACCCAGCAAAAACTGTTGAAGTTGTATGAGAAAAAATTTGCTACACCCACTTTCACAGTTCGGTCCAGTATATTTCGGTGAACATCGACAGTCGTATGTTTTTTCATCGAGGTTCACACAAACGCCATTGTTTCTACAAGGATTAAGGGAACACGGACCAGTCCTATCTGAAATGGAAAAATAAAACATTAGATGAAGCATCGATTAATTTAATCATAGATAATAACAGATAAATCAATATCTATATAGGGGTGTTGATGTACTCGACTGTATTTGTCCGAAGAAACATTGATATAGCTAATCATAAATTAAGCAATCACTTACAAACAGCTTTACAGGTCAGTCCATTCCCGATATGACCAGCATTACATACGCAGTGACCACCATGACATTTTGCATTTTTATGACAACTATCGCATATCTTTTCTGTAGTAAAATACATGAATCATTTCAGCTAGTTCAGATACGAACCACGGCAGCTTATTGTATTAATACTACCTACACTAAACCACTACGTTTGAGATATCTTTTTCAGGTAGTTCAGACATAAACCATGACAGCTTATTGTAGAATACTACCTACACTGGACCACCACGTTTGAGATATCTTTTTCAGGTAGTTCAGACATAAACCATGACAGCTTATTGTAGAATACTACCTACACTGGACCACCACGTTTGAGATATCTTTTTCAGGTAATTCAGACACAAACCACGACAGCTTATTGTAGAATACTACCTACACTGGACCACAACGTTTGAGATATCTTTTTCAGATAGTTCAGACACAAATCACGACAGCTTATTGTAGAATACTACCTACATTGGACCACAACGTTTGAGTTATCTTTTTCAGGTAGTTCAGACACAAACCATGGCAGCTTATTGTAGAATACTACCTACACTGGACCACCACGTTTGAGATATCTTTTTCAGGTAGTTCAGACACAAACCACGACAGCTATAGTAGAATACTACCTACACTAAACCACCACGTTTGAGATATCTTTTTCAGGTAGTTCAGACACAAACCACGACAGCTTATTGTAGAATACTACCTCCACGTTTGAGTAATCATTACTTATCTGTAATTGTTTCTCTTGCTAGATAATTCAGTACCCAACTTTGATACTGTTTAAAGAAGGCTATAGATATTACTACAATGACGACAGAACTTTAGATTCATTGCATAAATTTGTCAAACTGTATTTTCATGATGAATTATGAAGTGGATATGTAATTAATTATTGTTACGGTATGCACATAGTATAAATAGAAAATATGTATGATGTATGTAGAAGTTTTAAATACATTTGTACCACCTTGTATTTTCTTGCAGTTAATATCTAGATATTTCTGCCAAATGATAATTTCCAAATATGGGTGGAAGCAATATGAGAGCTTGTGAGAGGGCTAGTTTGAAGTTTGGAAGTTCACAATCAATCAACGAGATCCAATTAGCCTTTCTCACGATCACGAATATCCGCCATTTTTGGGTAGCATCCAATTCTCGTTAACCAATGCAGACAATTAAAACAATGTGAAAAGCAATATTTCAAAATAAACCATTTACAAAGCAAATTTACCATCATTCGTCCAAAAAATTATAAAAAGTCGCTGTCATGTGGACTTATCTCGCAGACTTCGGCTGAAATGCCACCCAAAAATGGCGGCGTGAGAAAGGCAATTGAATTTAGTCAAGTGGTTGTAAGTGATTGAATGGATGGCCAGCCTCGTATCTTTACCAGATTGTCTTGTGTGCACTCAGCTACCATACAGTATCTTGTTTGCTTGTCAGTTTATACTCCTATCATGTCCATGATAACTTACATCAAGTATTGCCTCACATGTTGGTACTCTGTACTGACGTCATTATGTCCAGGATCTCGTACGTGATACCATACCAGCACACTGACTTACATCAAGTATCACATGCTGAAGTTACCCTGAGCTGTCACTCGTCACCAGTTCTTTCTTAGCTCGCTCTTCCATTTTTTTCATCGCGATGTCAATCTTTAGTTTCAGTCTATTTTCAAAATCATAACCACTGCATGTTTCCTGGAGAAGAAAATCACATACATCAACAAAAGAATCGCATTTGAACATCTTTAATATGAACAACACAAAAACACTTCATTCTACTTTATTAGCAGTAGTGAAAAAATTCTAATTGAGCTACGACGTAACTTTATTCAATACACACGAAGAACGCATGTAGAGCGCGTTCTTCAGTGCGTTCTAATTCACGTTTGGAGCGCATTCTAATTTGCTCCATTCGCATAAAACTCGTGAACGTGTTCGGCTTTGCGTCCTAATCCATATTCGTAATGAAATTAGAGACAACCACAAATTACTTGGGTTTTCCGAATACCTATAACACAATTTCAAATAGCATATAATACGTTACCTTCGCTTTCCTGAGAAATTCTTGTCCTTTGTCAAACTAGAGGTAGAAAAATAAACAATTTATTTACCAACATCGCAATTTGTTAACATTGCAAGTTCATAGATCAGTGGCTCGTACCTGTGAGATCTTCGCAGATATTATTCCCAATTCATAAGCAGCAAATGGTAAGACATGTTTATCGCCAACAATATTTTCACCGGCAGTCATTGCTTCTTTATAACACTACAAAAAAATGTTCATATACTGTAAAAGTTAGTATGCAAAACTTGCCAGTAATAGATAACCGGAGAACTGGCCTCCAGCTCGGTACAGCATTTCTATAGCAGACTGTCTCTGCCCACAATTCAGACATGAATTGAAAGGTACTACAATAATGCAACAGTGACTTTTTTTACTATTACTGTACTAGACCGGAATAATTTACTCATTCCCCCCACCTCCTCCCCCCAAAAAAACGTTGGACGTAGTACAATTGCTTTAACCCTATTCTGGGAAATGCAATAAACATTGAATGGTGGGGGTAAGGGGAATGTTTTTCTAAAATTGCGATATTACGAAATTTTGTCAAATAATTGGAAGTGTCGCAGATGTTAGAATTGGAACTCTAACGAAAACACCAGTGAAGCTCTTTACAACTACTCAGTATGCCGTTTGTCTTACGTATATGTGAAAGCTTATGACAGTACGTTGGATCTTATACCTCAATAGCTTGAGTCAATCTTCCAAGACGATGTAAGACATACGCAGTTAGAAATAGTTTCAACGCAACAAAATCATCTTTCACCGTCTTCTCCAGGCCTGCAAATTGGAAACAGTTCTAAATAGAGGAATTGGAACTTGGGCCAATTTCGACATTGTGTCTTACCTTGGAGCAAGCACGACAAGGTGACCGAACTACACGTAGGAAGACATTCCCATAAATAAATAATTTCCAACAACAAAACTAAACTTTCTGCATCATTTGGCGGTGCTTGAACACAACACGTGGCCTAGAATACACAATGAAAATTGGTTAGAATAGTTGAGAATTTCTAAAACTCTCTCAAAAACAGACATCTCTATGGTTAACGAACATTTAAAGCATTCCCCACTGGCGTCTGTTAATTAGAGATTCGAATGTACTAATTTCATTCAAATAGTTAAATTTGAACAGCAATTAGTATAATCTAAAAAAGTTCAAACCTTTCTAATCAAAAACACAGCTAGAGGCGTTTTTCGTTTGACAAGTGAAGGGACGTATCTGAAGTAGATTACCGCTTCGTTTGTATTGCCTTGGACACCATGAAGAACTGGAATATACAATGATATCACATTGCTACAGACAGTTTCATTGCAAACAATTGACAATTTCTTGAAATAAATTTACATTTACATACCACCAATTAAATAAACATAGAAACATTGTGACCATCTAGTCACATCTTTTACTCTAAATTTCATAAAATAGAAATTATATTTAGAAAGGCACAAGTTCAAATCATTTATTCTAAATTTTAATCTAAGATAATTATTTTACAAGCACAAAATAAAATACTTTATAAATGCCTGAATAGCAAGATCCCACTGCATCTCTAGCAAATGACACCATCCTGGAAAGTTAACAAAATATGCAAATTAATAATTTGGATATGGAATGAATTAAATAAAGAAAATCTGGTTGAAATTTTTAAAAAATAATTACTGTACACTGAACTAAGTTAGAAATGATAGCAACCTATTTCATAATCACAAAACATGATCATCTCTTTATAAGCCAGAGGTTTTTCTAAAGCCAGGTTTAATGATCTTGTTGCATCACTGAAATTACCCTGGAATCAATTGAAAATGAAGTAAGAAATATGACCATACTTTTTTCACCCACATGCATTGTCAAGTCAGGAAGTTTGCTCACCTTACAACGGAATAATAAACCTTCAAAGTAAAGAGCAACTGGAGACAATAATAAATTCTCTTGAAGACCTTGCAATAATTGTGAAGCTTCTTCTAAACCTAGATCAAACATTTTCACACAATGTATATTATATTTATGGCTATTTCCTTATAGTCTCAAATGTCAATCAGATATTAAATCACTCAATTAGAAAATAATTAGAACCAAATATAATTTAATTACCACATTCAACGTCATTATCATCAAAGGCATACATTGGTCTGATAATAGCATGATACCATAGGAGACCAAGTCTATATAATCAATCATTAATTGATCAATAATCAATCATTAAACAATCATCAATAAATCATCAGTGAGTGATCAATCATTAATTAATCAACCAGCAATTTATCATTAATCAATCAATTAATCATTAATTAATCAACATTAACCAATCAACATTAATCAATCAATCAATTAATCATCAATCATTAATGAAGCATTAATTAATTAATCAATTAATCAATCAATTAATAAACAATAATCATTAACCAATCAATCATTAATTAATTATTAAACAATCAATCAATCAATAATTAACTAATCAATCAATTACTAATTTATTTAGCGAAACCAATAATTACCTTGACAGTTCAGCCTTGACATTCTGACTGGCACAGACATACTTCAAACAACTCAGACCCAGTTCTTGGTTGCCATGGAAACCAAAAAACTGCACAAGTTGTAGCACTTTAGGAGGGGTCAATGACACGACAAGGTTAAACAAACCATAACCAAATGCAATAGCTGCTTGTACTTCATGTAAAGCATGAGAACTAACTGTCTTTGTTTCAACATTGTAACAACTACATGATGAGACGTCAGAATTTACAGTCTCTTGTTCTACATTTGACAACACCTCAGGATTATTTTCATGGAGATGACAAAGTTGATATTCTGAGTTGCCATTAAGATTTAGAAAAGGGCCTCCAATCTTTAAGATTTTATCATAATTTCTTTTGTACTGTTTCCAAGATTTTCGTATTAAGAAAGCGCCTTTCACATAGTCTTTCAAACCTGCAGTACGTACAAAAAATTAAATGTATATAAGTTTCACAACATATTTCCATCTACAAATAACTGCTTCAATCATTTGCTCTATCAAATTAGATGCAAAACCCTGATATTTACGCAAATGCAATATTAAGAGCCTAGGTTTTGGGTATGTGATAATAATGAAACTCAAGGTCTCAAATATGAAAATGAGTCTCTATTGGCAATGATCATCAGACATACTTTCCAGAAGCATGTTGAAAAATATTTTCATGTAAAATATTAGGCAAGAAATACAATTCAGAAATTAATTTTCTTGTTCCTATGTCAAAATTTCTTACATTCAACACCATCTGTTAGCTTGCTAACACTTACTGAAACTCAGTAATGTATGACATACACAAGATGTTGAGACAAGTTGTCCATACCTTGTTTCAAACCTACCTTGTTTCAAGATACTCAATATTGCCATGTATAGCTCAGCATCGGTGGAGAAAATCTCATTCATTAACAACCTCAGATCATCAGCACTGCATTTCTCTTGTTTTAAAATATTCCTCTGTGTGATACAATATCTCTGAGTTTCCTTCAGACAGCTGATTGCTTCGTCAATATGAGTTTCATCTAATGTCAATAACGAGCTCTGAAATCATTAATCAATCAATCTAATCAAGCAATCAGCCACTTTCTTAATAACCAACTAAATAATCTATCAATTAATAAGTTAATTAATCTAATTATTAATCAATTAACAAAGGAATTATACATCAACTATTTAATTAATTAGTTGAGAAAATTGGAACAATAATAATCAATAATAACCATCAATCTGTGAAACTGATCAATTAACTGGCTAATTAAAGAATTGCATAAAACTGTTAATAAGCAATCTATTTTAAAATACCCAAGCTTACCAGAAACTCAACGAAGCTTGATGCAGAATTGAGCAAAGAACTTTTGTTTCTGAAAAACAGTATTAATACAAACATTAGAGTATCACAAAACATTCAAATGCAAACATCTCAAACTTTGTATTTAAATTTTAAACTTTGTAACAAAGTAGAAATGGTTTATTGTACATATTTTTACTCATAATATAAATTTTCAACTATTAAGATGGAATACAGAACCTTTTATCAACGAGGTATTTCCTGGCAGCCAAACAGCCATTGTTTAGTAATATTTCCACGCTGCATCGTACCATTATATAATCTTCCTCCGCAAACATAGAGCCCATTTTCTCACTGTTTTATTTATCTGGAGACCTATGTCTTTTCATGCTAAAATACTCGATATCCAACAAGAATATATAAAGGAAAAACAACGACAATATATTTTTACAAATACATATCCAATAAACTTTGTTTACTCCGTATCAGCGGTTTGCCACTGCAGGCTCCCGCCACTGAGCTATAGGAGAAACTGGATTAACAAGGATACCGACGTTTGCAAATAATAATGACAGGAACAGATAATGCCTTTATCTATTCTCACGTAAAGTTGCAATCATCTTGGCAAAGTGGATGGTGGATGGGGCCAACAGACTCGCAACAAGTTGTTCCAAGAAGTTTGATATCGTCTGCACGTAACAAGTTGATAACAACAAACTCCTAGCTACTTCAGTAGTACAGCGCGCACGCGCGACCAATAAGTGACATATGTCGCTCGTCCCGCGCGGGCAAAGCGACAGCCTCAACGACGCCAACAACAAGAAAACATTTTAAAATTAAAATGCAAATCAGGTAGAGGTTTGAGCCGATTGAAACAGCATCACTCGGCAACAGCGTCTCTTTGACAAAGCTCAGTGTTTTATACTTTATATATCCATCTCTTCACGAAGCCATGGCTGTGAACTTAACACAGTGGGAGAAAGATCAAGTTAAAGCTATAGACAACCTGATCCAAAAGTGCAAGTTGCGAAATATCGCATTTGAAAGGGAACAATATAAGTTGAACATCTTGTTGAACCAAAATGCCGCAGTTGAGACTTTTGTCGAACGCTTGTATGAACAGGTGCCGCAAAGATTGCGACATTTTGCAACAGACCTATACTCAGCGTTAGACTTCTTGTGTTATCTCTGTTACTGCCACTTCAAGAACAACGGCAACCCTATCCACGATTCAGCAGCAAGAAATGTTTCATTTCGTCGGCATAAAAACCTCAAGAGATCTGATGTTGCAGCGCAGGAAGACAGTTGCAGTTCAAAAAGAAGGGAGTTTGTATGGCGTGAATTCACAACCGTTTTAACTTGTCTTCCACAAGATGGATTTGGTCCGTTGGACGAGGTCACTCAACAAAAGTACAATCCTTTCAAAGAAATTATCCTAGGCTGCCAGATAATAACGAAGATTGGTGGTGATGGACAGCCAGTACAACCACAACCAGACCAGCTTGACGAGGCGAAGTATTTCAACAGACTCCATTACCTACGCAACACTACAGTTCATTGTAATTTCGTTCAGATTAATGTCCAAAACGGGTGGTTGTATTTTAACCGGCAAGACGGGAGCCACGAAATCTCGGCAGTCCCAATACCTGACAGAGACAATGACCCGGTGAATTGGGAAAGCTTTCCGGTTCATCCCGGTTATTGGATTCCAGTTCCTTCACCGCTGGTCCTGATACACCAGAATTAGTAATGCAACTAACCATTCTCACAGTTCATCTTTTTCAATTTGTGATAAACACCAGAAACAACATGTTAGAATTAGCTTTCCCCCAAGCTTATGGCTTACAGGGAGGCATTCCTGTATTTGATGGAGATAAAGTGGATTTTGGCTGGGATGATGGTGTACGCATCGGTAACCAACTTATCCCTTGGCCTGTATTTGACGAAAAGTGCAATATAAGCAATATTTCTGATTTATGGGCTGTTTAGAAGTTTTTGGCCAACAATGGGTTTATTAAGAGGCAATTTTTTCAATGTCACGTATTTGCAATGAAAAGTGTTCAAAACCTAAAATATTTTTTACTTTGTTTTAGCTTTATTCTCTAGTTTATACAGTTAGCAACATTTTTAAATGCATCTGCCGGTTGAGAAACATAAAATAATAGTCAAAAATTGTCAATTAAAATATAATTATCAATGATGCTTTTAAAATTGACGCCATGTTTACAGCCATATAAGCAAAACTTACTGAACTTCAGACAGCATTTTCTCTTTGGCGTACCATCTAAAATCTTTTCATTTTAGCATTATTTTACAGATAAAGCACTGAACAAACTTTTTAAGTTTGTTTGCCGATTGAGAAACGTATTGAAAAATAAAAATTTTGAATTTAGTCATAACCTCAAGTGGTATATTATACGCATTAGTTTTGAGCGCATGTTACGTAACATACAAAAAAATCTCCTCTTTAAAAATAGTATGTAATTTACTACTTTTCTGGACACAATGAGTCCTTAACATAAACAATTCCTTTAAGATGTGATTTGTTATATACTACTGTAATTCTAATTTATTGCATATATATAAGATTTAAATTCGTGTTTGTAATTATACCAGATTTTAAACATTGACAGGTCATTGTCTTATTCTCATGTGAAATTGTTTGTATACACAGGCATTTAAAGGTTTCAAACTGACCAGGATGAGGCTAGTTAAATGACAATAGCAAGTAAGATACAGAGTTTAATTAAAAGAAACACTGTCGACACTGTATTTTGTAAATGTTTTATTATTTCAAACATGTTTGCTTTGATTTAATAATATTCTATGACCTTACAGTATTTGACGACAATTGTTCTCTTACAATATCACAACAAAACATTTCAAACCAAAATAACACCTCCTATACCAGTAAAGAAAGGATGAAATAAAGGAAAACAGAAAGGAAGGATAGAAATAAAATGCAAGAAGGAAAGAACATCCCATGTCAGTGACAAAACCGAAATATACCAAGCAAAATTTGAAAAAAATAGACCACAATTCAAAGTGAAAAGAATGCTATTTTGCAATAACACATATTTCAAAAGGACACCTTATGCTTGCATACTGGTTTGCAAATTTATAAGGAATAGAAAGGTACAGTCATTTTAAAAGAGAACTAATATTCTCATCCATGACTGTCTGCAAACTTTGAAATTAATCTAAACTCTAACTAAGGAGAAAAGAAAAATATTTGTGACCCAAATGGCAAGAACACCACATAAAACATAACAGAATAGCAATATCGCCTTTTTCACCAACACAATACACAAGTTAGCCAAATATTAACATTTGCATAACAGTTCAAAAAGTGTACTCTCAAAAAGGACCACACTTTGTCAACAAAACCGAATAATGCCACACAACCAAACCACACGATATATTGTTCACTTTCCCGTCTCGTTTGTTCAAATTACCATTATTTCTCAGAACTTGAAGGAACCATGATATTGATGGGGTAAAAAATTTGAAGTATTTCCGGGAAGTCTTTGAAAATACTGTTGGGGAAATCTGTGATGAAACAGGGGTGGTGCAGGGATATGGTTAGGATTTGCAGGGTAAATTGGTGAGGGTACAGGTGGACAGGGGTGGGTAGGGAATCTTTGACGCATGATATTCGAATTACTTGAAATATTGCAGTCAAGGTCAGCGCGAGGCATACGTTGATATTTACGAGCATAGAAGAAGCCATCATATTCATAATTTCCCTCTGGGGAAGGAATCTCATATCGCGTAACATCTTCCGGATACCAGGTATCTTCTTCCAAATACCGGGTCTCCGGGTGTCGAGTATTTTCTTCCGGGTATTGGATATCTCTCTCTGGATAGGGGCTGTCTTTCTTCAGGTATCTGTCGTCATGATGTGGTGACATTGAAATGTCAAATACTCCAGCAGGACTTTCGTACTCCCGGCGATTGAATACCTCGGTATTAATATCGTATTGGGAATCAGTATCGTATAGGGGACTGCAAGGGGAGGTTCCGTACGAGTCAGATAGATTGTCACCATAGGACGAAATGGTATCGGTGGATTGAGCACGGCGGGAAGCAGGATGGTCAGTAAGGGTCTCCTTGTCTTGCATGTGTACAAGACTGAGAGACGTTTCAATGTTAAATGTACTGAGTAAAGCACAGTCAGTTTGTTGCTCTTGGTCGACTAGTTTCTTTCGTTCTTTTCCTTTGTACCAATCAATGTCTAACTCTGTTTGCTGTGAAGAATCAGTCGTCTTAACTGCTGTGCTCACTGGTATCTCGTCGCTTGTGTGTGGGAGCAGAATATTAGAAAACTGATCAATTGACGAAGTTGTAAACTCGAGTTTAGACTGGACTACAGAAGCCACATTAGTATCCTCAGGAATCAAACCATCGTGCAATTCACTTGTAATTATGCTTTCTGTTCCTTCCTTCCTTTCAACTTCACCATCACACTGCTCTAACGTTGTTTTTTGGTCTTGGTTTGAATTCTCGATTGAAATGTCATCGTTGGTAACCTGAACATTGGGAGGTTTCATTCCTTCATCAGATCTGACGTTGTCCAATACTTGTTCATTTTCACCAGGTTGCGTTTCAAGTTCTTCACAAGAATCTTTTTCTTTCTCCTTGGATTCAGCATTGAGATCAGACTCTTCTTCAGCACGACTATCTTGCAGTTGACAAACAGCACTCGGCTCAACTGGAACATGGACAGGAAAATCTCCCACAAATATTTCAACTCTTGGCCAATTTTTCTGCTTTTCTTCTATTGACTTACGATTAACAAAGACAACAGGTTGACGATTTTGTTTTCTTTTTAACTTTGTTTTCTTTTTCTGATCTTTCTTATTCCCAACCAAAATCGTAGCTTCTTTTTGTCCAATGTTTCCTTCATGAATTACTTCAGTCTTTTTCATAATTCCCGTATCTCCTTCCAACACTGTCGTGTCTTGGTGACAAATGTTTTCCTTTTCAGTATTTCTCTGCTTATCCCCTTGCAATACTGCAAATTCTTTGTTTCTTTCTCGTATTTCTCTACTCCTTCTTGGAACTTGCTTATCTCCTTTCAACACTAGCTTATCATTTCTTTGATCCTTTTTACCGTCCAATTCCCTGAGTTCGCTTGGAACCAGTTCGCTTGGAACCAGTTCACTTGCCACACCATTTGTCTCCGCTGTTTGCTGTTGAGAAACTAATCGAGAATTATTTAAACCATAGTTTGATTGAGAAGTTGAGGTTTGGTTTCTTTCTAGAGAGGTTTTTCGAGACTCTGACTTGTTCTCATTCAGATCTTCTGTCAAAACATCTTGTGGTGTTTTAACACGATGTTTGCCGCCATTTGAACTCATGAATTCTTCATCTGCTACAGGTTGATTACGTTGACTAACCAAGGACTCCCTTGTGGTCACACTATTACTAGATATTTCCTTTTTCAATCCACTAGAATTGTCTTTAACCACATCTTGTTTTCTGTGCTGTCGTTTACTTGTTGGTCTATTCCCCACAGGATTCTTCGATGCGTCAATTTGAGCAGTTTTTGAAATCACGTCATTTCTTGCAACGGGCGCAAAGTTCTCGCCATTTCCACTTGCAGACACACCTAACGAACCACTTAATTGCCCATTAGAGTTTTCCTGCGATGTCTTAACATCAGATTCTTTCAAAGCGTATTTTTCATGTAAAGGAACAACACCAGGTACTTCATCAGCGGTCATTTCATGTTCACAACTTCCTTCGCTTTGTTTATTATTATTTCTCTTCATTGGCACGACAGCAGTATTTCCTTGAACACTACCCGAGCTGGACTGCTTGTGTGCATAAGAATTCTTGTTATTTCTGGATTTTTTCATCGTTTTCCGGACAAACTTTCTTGGAAACTTCTTATTGTTCATCCCATCTTTCTGGGATGTCTCTTTCGCAGTTGATTTTCCCTCATTTCTTAGAAATTCCGAATTTGTAGGAGTTGTAGACTCAGCGCCAAATATTTCAGAAGTTTTGGGAATGTCTTCAACACTCGTCTCCTTCACGTCATTGCTTTGTTTCCGAATTTCATCTTCCTCTAAATTATTTTCTTCATAAACCTTTCCAATCTGATTCAATATTTCTTTCTCCAACTCATAACGTTCCTTTTTGTCAGGAAATTTTCCAACCTGTAAACTAGAAGCTCCATTTCTGAAAACATCAGCAGGATCTGGTTTCTTCCTGGACACGTTAGGCCTTGTGTTAGATTTCGCGGTGCTCTTTGTTTCTGCCAGGTCACCAAGTTTGTTTCCATTATTTACATTTTCTATTTCATGAACTGGTTTGCTATTCTGATGTTGCAAGTTCTTGCTATTCTGTTTAGACGAATAAGAGTTCTTTCCCTTCTGTTTAGAGGTCTTTGACTGTTTAGAAGGTGAATTAGAAACAAAATCATCAATTGTTAGACTCAATGGAACGACATGTTTTGGTATGGTGAAAGTAAAGCTACGACTTTCGTCTAATTCATCATCCCAGCACTCCGTACTTTCGCACATCATCCCATCATCGACAGACGGTACTGGCGGTACATTGGGAGGTCTTTCAGTTTCCTCCTTGGTCAACAATAGATCCACATTATCAAGACTGTAATCAAGTTCTTC